GGTGGTAACCGGGTGGACGACCGAACGCGAAAATCGCACAAACGCTCCCTTTTTACAGTACGTATAAAATATATATTCGAAAACGGTATTGTAAAATATAATACACGAACCGTGGGGGACTCGCGTGCGTCGATGGGAAACGGTCGGAAAAATTACGCGTGTGCGCGCGTAACCGGTGTGACGGCGGTACTGAATTGTCCGACACTCCGAACGCGCGCGCGCCGGCGTGTTCTACGATGACGGCGAACCAGTTTCACCGGACGGCGGCGTTTTGCGAAATCGGACAAGGAGACTGCGCGCGCGCGCGGCGCGCGCCCGCGTTCGCTCGCTCGGCGGTGGCGGAGGCGGAGGCGACAGCCCGAGGCGACGCCGATACAGACCGATGGCCGACGACAGTCACACGGCGATGACCGACCTTAGACGAAGCGAACGGCGGTTCTCGGGGAGGTGTCACGACGACTGGGCAATATTACAGTACTTAAGTACCTATGCGCACCCGACAAATACGCGTTTTCGCGAGGAACGGATAAAAAATATATTTATGAAATAAATTTAACGGGCAGAAATCGGACATAATAATTGTACGATTTTAATACGTTGCCCGTTACGTGTTATGTACTAAAAAGACAAACAATACGTAACGTATCGATACTTAGGTTATCCGTACAAAGCACGAATGGATGCTAAGGCTTAAAATCAGTGTGATTGAACAATCAAAACGTAAAAAATAAATAGTTTTAATAAGATTTTTTAACATCAAATCTGAATTTATTACTCTGTTTAAAGTCGAACGAGTCCTTAGACTGTATGCCAATCTAGTGTAGGGTATGAAGAACCGGAAAAAATAACCTATATCATATTATTATCATTCTATAACCCTTGTACGATATAGAGAATATATCATTGATTCATAATTAAGTAAGTCATGTTGTTACAAATGTATTCGATGTACTAACCACGTTGTAGTATAGTTCTAAGTACAACAGTTGACATGTTATGTAGCAAAAATTTAATTTTGTGACTCCCTCGATCGTTTAGAAATCGAGTTCTAAAATTTTCAGTGCATAAATAAGATTGTGTGTAGACTAGGAATAATAATAATAATAAAAAAAAAAAAAAGGAATGGAACATTTAATCGTTTGTCATTATTTTAATAATAACACGTATATTATTATAAGCTCAGTTAAAAACGGACAACGATTCTTTGAGTATTTTTTTGGTATTGTTTTGACATAGATTGATACCTAACATATTACTATACAGAGATAATGTAGCAGACGCTTATTATAAGTCTATAACGGTTTTTATATTATCGTCATCATAAAGATTAAAAACAATATGATATCATGAATACTTTGAAGTATACACTATACACTATTGACTATACACACATTGATGATGCGTTTTAGGGCATATGTGAGACTACGGTTTCACGAAGTAGCTACAGGCAATCACAAAAACTATTGTTCGTGAGTATAATAATAATAATATATAGGTAGGTACCTACCTATTCCCATATAATATTCTGTGAGCTGTGCAGTGTGCACAGTGCATACGCGGTGGTAACAAATGCGATCAACACGTTTTAATACAACTTTAATTTATGTAAATACAGTTAATGTGATACATAATATCCAACTATCTAAATGATAATAAGTTTACGTAACGAACATTGAGGAACCGCCGTGGTGTAATATTATTGTATTCGTGCATGACTAATTTCTGACGTATGCATAATAATATTATTATAATTGTTTATTATTTAAAAAAATCCAATTCGCATGTTTAATGTAATCCGTATTATTAATAAGGTATCCTTTCATTCGCTATTTTTTTTATGGTTTGTATTTATAAACACAAATAGTTTGAATAATTTCAAGTCTCAACTGTTATTATAATAATATTCATAGGATGTTTCTTATGCTAACCTAACCCGCATGTGTTTCCTCTTACAAACGCACTAAGTATTAAATTTGCGCGTTTAATCGATTTTGTGTTGTTAACTTTGACGTAAAGTAAATCGGTCTAAGATCAAACATAAAAGTTAGAACACATCTAATGTTATCTCTCATTGGTTCATTACAAAAATTTTAAATTAAAATATTGTTGATTCTTAGAGAACTGGCGATAGGTATTAGATAACGTTCTTAACCTTTAAGTTTAATCATAGGTTTATTCACTCTTAAATTGAAGCTAATATTAATACTGATATAATATAATTTTCTATGATTCTATACTGAGCACAAATTTGCCATGTTACACGTTTGTAAGATGAAAACACATATGAATATAGAACCTTTTTAAAATATTATAGTATACTTAAAACCATAAATACTTGAGTCAACTGGATAACCTATTTAAAACAATTCAGTTGAAATACGTAACTGTACATCTATACGAAAATTTCTATCCAGCATCCATGGAGTGTATATGGGGGAGGATAGGAGTTAACATTTTTTTTTTTTACATACACGAGTATAATGGCACAAGGGTTCATAAAATATATCGCACCAGCCAGTTTTTGTGACACCGCGACTATAATAACACTTTTAATTTAAAATTATTATTATTTTTTTTTAATTTCTATATACATTATTAATTATTATATATTATCAGGACCTGGGTCCCATAACGAAAATACCCACAATATATTAATTAATATTGAGATAATATAATAATCAATTATATTTTAATTCATATTTCATTAAAAGATTAATATATTAATTTTTATAAAATATTTATATGATAAAATAGAAAATATATACGTTATAGTATTTAACATATTATACTATAATTACTCTTTTTGAAAATATTTTCAATGCAATTTAAAATTTAATTGTTGTATACTTAAAAATATTCATTGAAACATTTCAAGCAGTTGTAAACAATATAGTAAATACAGAAAATATAAAATAAATATTATATCGTAAACTCTATTATCTTATAATATTTAGTTTAACAGTAGGTACTTAATAAGTAATTGTTACGAATAACTTATTAATTGATAAGCTTATATTTTTGAAGTGCTTGAAAAATTATTATAATATATTTATTTTTTTATTCTTATGAAATAAAACTTTTTACATTACAATACTCTACCAAGTACATACGCTAGATACATTTTCAACCAAATTAGCCTTCCAATTATACTAAATCTATTTACATACCTAAGTTGTGTTCACCTATTGTGAACAATGTTACGTAAGTACCCAAATTATTACCGACATTTTTTTCTTTAGTACTTCTAAATTGTAATTATGTTGTGTGTTTCTTAAATTAATATATCGTTTTGAAATTATATTTAAAAATAAAAATAATAATATTAAATAAATAATATTATAAAATATATTTTATAAGTCTTATATTTTTTTTGTAAAATAACTTATTTTAAAATATACATGGAAAATATAATTAAACAAATAAATAGTTCTCAGTATTTTTACTTGACTTTTCTTCCCTAAAACCTTAATAATATAATTTAGTTATTTTATATAACAATATAATTCTATGGTAACAAATTGTATAAAAATAATATGTTGCTGTTTATTAAATTAAATGTAGGTGTTGTCTAGTATTCAGTGACCCAGTGTTATATATTTTATATATAAAAAAAAAAAAGATTAAAATGTCTTACAAAATATCACAATTACAAAAAGAATATAAAAAGGTATTCAATCCATCTCATAGGTAATATACCATTCTAATGATATGTATGTTTATTTATTTTATTAAAATAAAGCCTTAACAACAAAGATTATTAGCTTTAGGTGATTTACATAGGGTCTGGGATTTCGAGCTGCTTTCTTATCGTATACATTTGAAAGAAATAGGGTATGAATCTATATTTACAATGTTGTTTTTAGATAGTTTAAATTAGGTTGTACAATTTAGTTGTTTTTAAGAATTTTAAAATTGTATTGATAGTAGTTGGATCGGATCCCAGTGATTGTTGGCTATGTCGAGATCTACCTTGATGTCATTGTAAGTTTATCAGTGGTAGATTACGTGTTTGATTGTAATTTTTTATCCGCGTTAAAGATGATATATATTCAATTACAATTTAAACCTGCTATTACCTTTTTTTTTTTTTTTTAATAACAAATTTTCAGTTAAGTATTAAAGTATTAATCAAATAATAATAACTAAGAGTTATTTAAACATTCAATGGATAAATAGTATTAATATAATATAGTAGTAGAAAATATATTATCTATATTTTAAATAAAAAGTTTAACGGTTTTTCCTTAGCTAACAAAACTTATCAATTCTAGCACTTTAATACTAACATGATTAAGTATTTTCAAGTTACATTAAAGTTGATATAGAAGATAGTGTGTAGAATCTATACTATAGATAATTATATCATACAATTTTTATTTTTATTTTTATTTTGAAATTTTGATATGTTATTAATTATTATATATATTTTATCAAGCATAGTATTGTACCCAATATTCAGACACGCCTAAATGTTTATTTTATTTAGAACACACTATAATAATAAGCAACTGTCTATTAAATTATGTCACGGTCATTGATTACTAAAAATCATAGACACTTAAGTACTATATAGGGATAATATTGTGTTTTATATTAAATATATTTAATATATATATATTAACTTGAATAGTTGAATAATTAAGTGAATTATATTTTTTATTTAACAAGATTATACTAAAAATTTACATTAGAAAATTAGTGGTTTGATTTTATCCAGTCAAGTTTTTATCACTCCTAATATAATTAAACAACGTATCTTAAAACTTTAACAGCTTTAATTACAACATAAATAATATAATATTCAATTTATGATTATATAAATCGTATAAATATAATTATTAAAATAAAAAAAATAAAGTTTAATTCAATTGAAACAGATATGTTGCATACATAATGAATAATTATGTTAACATTCTGTAAGTACAACTCAAAAATCAAAGCTGATAGGTTATTTGAGGCTACTTCCTCATAAAGAATAATTATTATTTATTGCATTAAAATAGTTAAAATAGATCCTTAAAAGACAGTTATAGTTAATTATACAGCAATATTTTATAAAAACTATTAATGTTAATTTAATATAAAAATATTTAGAAAAAACACTGAAATTAATAATACAGAAAGAAGTTCTTCATTATCATTAAATCATCGGCTTATTTGGATACACGGAAAATCAAATACTCCTAAGTATAATAATAGTGAGTTGAATTATAATAATATAATACTATATTGTTCAACAAATATTAGCTACAATGTAATAAAATAATAATATATAACAACTTATGTAATGAGATAATCTAGTGGGTTTCTCAAGTTACAGTATTAGTATATAATTTGGAAATACTTAAATTGTAGAAATTCTATTCTTCAGTATATTTTTTAGCTTACAGTTATGATAAAGAAATAGATAATTTATCTAAAAATTCAACTAAGTTTAATAAGGAAACGGCAGATAATTTAAATCACAATTTATCGCAAGCAAAAAAAACTTATACAGTCATTAACATTTCCTTCGATGGATCATCACAAGAAGTAAGATAATATCATAAACTTATAGGTAGCTATTAAAAAAAGCTATTGATTAGTGTTATTTAATTATAAATATAAATTAATCTATTATTTTAAAATGTATTTAATTTTAATTTTTATATTCTATTAATATACTATAATGGTCTATTATACACTTATTTTAGAAAATACAAATTATTGATCAACCACAGAAAAAAGTCAATAGGAAGATTAAAGATCGTTATTTGGTAAGCAGTGAATACTTATGACAACTAATCAATTAAATACGATTAAAATATTAAATTTACTAAAAATATTTATAAATTATGACAATTTGAGACATTTATTACATTTTTACGAGAATCTCTAAGTTTGGACGTCGTAAATATAAATTGGTTTCCGTAAAGTTATATACAGATTTAGTTTCATGTCGAGTTCAAGTTTTGATTTTGAGTTTTAAAGATAGCCAAGTACAAAAAAAAAATTAAATATTCAAGTTAACAAAGACGAAAATTTAGTTTAGGTAAGTTTAATGTTGTGTATAAAGTGTGCTTAGATAAATTTTTATTGAATCGAATACCGAAGTACTTTGTACGAGTAATTAGTGGGATTAAAATCAAAATTTTGTTAAATGTAACTCGGGGATAATTATTGTGTTTGAGAGAAAAAGTGACGTTATTTGATTTGCTTTTGTTAAGTTTTACTTTCCAATTTTGACACTAGATTTCAATATAAGAAAAATTTCGATTGAAAATGATTGAATACGGTTGTTGGATTCTTATAAACTAAGAGAATTGCTTAATCATCAGCATATGTAAGAATATAATAGAAATAAGTGAGTTAATCAGTTGTAAAAATGTTGAATAAAAGAGGTGCTATAATTGCAACTTGACGAATATCGGCTCGAGTGATATATGTAGTTGAAAAGAGGAATTTAATTTGATGTTGTATTGAAAATCATTGAGGTAAGATTTGAAGTTCAAGAAGTAAGAAAAAACAGGAAGTAAAGTATTATTATTTTTAAAAGGGAGGCTTGTATTGCATACCTGATCAAACGTCTATATTACATCGATAATATAAAACATGCTATTGAAATTGAATACAATATGTTAGAATTTATAATAAACATTTGAGACTCGATAGACTCAGTGGGGCCCAATGTTCTTTTTAAGAAATAAAAATGATATTACAATAGGGAAATAACTTGGAAAGTACAAGTCACAATTTATTAAAACATATATATATATATATATATATATATATATATATATTGATAAAATAATTTGTTTTGTTTAATTTTCTGCAGAAAAGATTGAAGGACAATAATGATGATTGTTCTTTGGCACTAAAAAATAAACAAGATAATATTTCTTTAACTGATCAACATATGAAATCGTTAGACAACTCTTCACTAACAGATTGTACAAAGGATGTGATTCAAAATGAAAAAGACGATGAGTTTGACATAGTTTTTTTAAATAATCAACATCAGTTAGAAATCCAAACGATAAACATTTAAAGTTATTACAGGGGATACTTAGAATTTAGTCAAACAAACAATGAGATTTAAAAACAATAAATAATATTAATATATTGTTCACTTCTAGTAAATATTTAATATTTTATTAATTATTATAAACACTGAAAATATTTTTTAGTTATTACAGTAAATAAATTTTGTGTAGGTAGTAGGTATCTAAACATATTATATCATGAGCCATGACATAAATCAACTTTTGTTTATAAAAATTTCAAATTTATTTTAAGTTAATACATCTATTATTTAAATTTAAGTCTCAAAATTTAATATCTATTAAAATTGAAAATATTTTAATTTAACCTACACACTTAAATACAGAATATAATCGAATAAATTAATTTATACTTAATACGTAGGTATATATGGTTTAACACACCTAAACATAGAGACTACTACCTCAAAATTATTTGAAGTTTTTAACCGTAATTATTTATTAGTATTCAAATAGGGTTGTTGAGATACAGAACTAACGAAACGAAGCATACCCATGTATTTATCTTTTCCTTATAAAGTGAGTATTCATACTAATTTACTCACCTAATTCGATCATATATCTGCTAACTTTTGATAATCGTTTTACCGAGGTAAAGTGCACATAAATATGAGAAAACTAACATTAACTTATCCTAACTACAAACTTACTATCATATTTGGGTCTACATACTGGGAAACTTATTTGAAATATTAATAATTAATTGATTTAAGTATATATAATATAAATAACTTACAAGAGTCAATTTAAATGTGTTTAAAATATTTAAATATTAATTAATTAATATGAAATAATTTATTATAATAAAACTAATTTAACAGTACTAAAGAATAAAAGTTCACAAAGAAAAAATTGTTGCAGAGTTTTTGAAATTCGAAGTTTAGTACAATATCAATGCATTATAAAACTATAACGTTACCACATCGATAATCAACAATTATAACTTAATTAAAATGAACTATCACTGCTCTATATATACCGCCGAAGCCTCTGCTATCGTAAAAGCAGTTAAATATATATCAAATCAGGACAAGCAACAATGGTTAATCCTCACCAACTCACTAAGCATATTATCAAGCCTTCAAAACCGATTTAATCCTAGCAAAGTAACAGCAAACTTAGAAAATTCAATCAACGCACAAAAAAAAAAATGTTCTAATATGGATACCAGAACATACCAACATACAAGGAAACAAAACAGCGGACAAAGCAGCCAAGCAAATTGCACAATCAAACCAAACAAAAATACAAATACAAACCTACACCGACATCAAAAAAACAAATAAAAAACATATGCGCGATAGAATGGGAAAAATTACGGAAAAAAAAAATCAAAAACCTATTGAAATTAATAGAACAGCCCTCAAGTGGCCCTCAAACCAATAAAAAAAAAATGAAACAGTCCTTAACTGGTTAAGAATAGATCACACAAAAATGGCCAAATGTAAACTCCTAAATTAATAACCTTTTTATCTGAATCATCATTAAATGTAAGCTCCTACATCAATAACCTTTTTACATTTTTACCTGAAAAAATAGGATAATATAATTTAAATTCACGATTTTGAAATTAAAAAGCTCAAAAAGTTAAAAATGATTATAGCTTGAAAATAATATATATAATACAAACACTCGAATAGAGCGTGTTTATAAGATGTATGATTGGCTGGTTATATCTATATTATAATATTATATACTAAATTATAGGTTCATGTCGGCATTTGCAGTACAAAATGTTAATAGATCAGCGATAGTAATTAGTATGGCATCGACAAAACGCAAACAAACAAAAAAAAATTAAAAATATGAATTTATAGTTACTACAAAAAATAAAATATATATACAAGGAGAAATTTTACGTTTAAAGTTTATTTTAAAAATATACCTGTCATAAAAATAAACGTAAATTATTATTAGTTATAACTATTGTTTTTTATTAATTTTTATATTTTTCAAACAATTTTTGTTCTGAATTATAAGTTTATACTTTTGTATGATATTAATATATTATGTATTAACTTATTGCAAGACTGATATATTTTTATAGTAGTACAAGCAGTATCCTTTTTTATCATCTTTTGAATGAGTTAACACTATATTTTATAGGAGTTAACGCTATATTTTGTGGGAGTTAACACTATGTCTATGTAGGAGATTACATTGCATTTGTAGGAGTTTACTCACGATCTCTAAATGGTCAAAAAAGAACCACCAATTTGTACCATATGCGGAACACGAACAACAGTGAAACACATATTAATTGAGTGTTTTAAAACAAAGAGCTCAGGATAAAAAACGATTTGCCCTAACAATTATCCGAAATCATTGGACTTGACAAGGAATCAAACATAAAATTAATAAATTTTCTAAAAATGTCTGAATTATATAGTTTAATTTAATTAAATTTAACGTAGTAATATTTCGGAAAAAAAAATAAATAATTTGTGCCATTCATTTGTAATTTATTTTAACCACCAAGTATTTGAATACATCCATTCATATTTACCTTAAGAGATCATCAATAATCGGCTTTGAAGTTAATTTTACTACCTCTTAAATTTCAAGGTCACATACACGAAAATAAATATTAAGTATATTTTATTATTTAATCTTTATGTAATATTATATTTTGATGAAATGAGATTGCGTCACAATAAATCATTGACGTCTTACCAAAAATAGCAAATGAGTTTTTATAATATATATGTTTGAGTGCTGAATAATGTCTTTGTTATGAAACAAAGAATAAAAAATAAAAATAAAAATAGTTTTGATCGCTATATTAGAAAACGAAATATTACAAATAAATCTAATTATTAACCTTTAATAATAATGTTTTAAGCTTAAATTTTTAAAATACTTGTGAATGTTCTAATAAGAAATTCGTTTATCAAAAATAAAGGTAATTTAATAATATTATCATCGTGTATACATAAATACAATATATAATAATAAAATGTATCATTATATTTATTTTAAACGAGATAAAGGTTAAGAGATTCTGTACTAGTATTAGTTTGTTGAAAAATGGTCAACGAAAAACTTCTTAAAAATTAAATAAAGAAATTACTACTATACTAGAGCATAATAAAAATACACAGATAATATTTACTAAAATTTAACTTAAAAATTAATATTTATAAAAAAAATTAAACTATTATATACGCATATATTTTATGTCAATATTTACTAAGGGTAAAATATTTTTCAAACACTGTTGGTATTTAGATTTTATATAAGTATACAGGTAAATTACTAATAATTATCGTATAGGCTATAAGGGCTTCGACAAGACAATTCGTTTTACAATATGTAGTACACTACGAATATTAACAAAATGTACTATACATACCTAATAATAGTTTGAACAAATTAGAATTGCGTAGTTTAAAAACTTTTCAGATATTTTAAAATTATATTACCTTCAATTCTGTAGTATTCTTTTATCTGGTTATACAATGTAGGTTTTACATTATAATCGTACTAGTGCGAGTATTATTTCTCGTCTGCGGCGACTTTGGGGAAAAAAAGAATAAAATTATATTAATAAAAGACATCTATCCTATAAGTTATATCCAATGATGAATAACTTAATTCATACCATCAATATAAAACGCGTGGTAAACTGACAAGTTTTCAAGTCCCAATGTGACTTACGATCCATATGACAATGGGTCGTAAAGTTTTACGCTATCATTTCACTGTGTCTATCACGTATGTAACCAATAAATTGCTTTTATATATACCTACAATTCTTTTACTATAAATCCCTCAGGCTGATGTAACAAGAAAAAAAATCATTAGCAGCAGGCAATTGGATTTTAACATTTAGGACGCTAGCGTGTCAGTGATTTATAAAAAAATATAATATAATATGTGTAAAATATATTATATATACAAGGTTATTCGCTAACTAAGCCCACCCCCATACATTTATTCGAATTCCGATTTTTAGAATTTTTAAACACAATTTAGAACATATATTAAATTTGCCGAATTATTTTTTTTTTTTTTTGATTACTTAGAAATATGCTGTTAGAATATAAAATTTTGGTTTTAAAATAACAACCCATATTTCTATTGTAAATTATTTACCAATATGTTTTTATTTTGAATGCTTGCGTATCATTATCAAAAATAGGATAGTGTTTTTTGTATTATTTGACTTTGTGTACTAAGAATATTGGATTTAGAAGATATAGCCAAATGTAAGGTTTAAAAATTTGAAAATAATAGTAATACATTTTAATCGATCAACATTTATAATTGTTAAAAATGATCTAAATAAAATATTTACTATAAATTATACAATATTGCATATATTTTATATTTTTAAGGACTTTTATACTTAGTATAAACACTTTAATATTTGAGAAACTACTTCTTTGAATTTTAAATTAGATACATTTTTACATTTATTTATACATGTAAAAAAAAAAAATATCTATCAAACAATTTAAAGTAAAAAAGAAGGTTTTCATTTAAAAACAAATGTTTAGTTTGTATTATCACGAAACATTACTTAAATGGTACAAAAATCTCAATAATTTAAATAAATTAACTATTAAAGGATAAAATATAGGGGGTGAGCATGTTTGGTGAATCATCCTGTACCTATAGTTGTATACATAGATTTTAGAGTCGATACGCATATCGACATATAAAATCCATGTGTCACGTACATTGTCTTTATAATAATTTGTATTTGCACAAGTCGGACGCGTTTGTTGATCTACTATAACAATATACGTGGCAAATGTTGAACAAATACTCACAGCCGCGTGTTGCATGTGCACAAAAAACAATAACAACAATAGATAACTATGGTTTAAAGTTATATGTACAAATAAAATGTATTTTTAATGTGTAGATGCTTTTAGCGGAAAGTAATAATATTTGCATAAAATTTGATTGGAGTGTTAGATATAGAATAGTACGGAAGTGAGGATGGCGTTAGTGGTGAGTTGTATTTTAATATTCTAGTAGT